TGATGACGTGAGTGGAGGAATGAATATCTTATGACTGTTTAGCAACAGCCTAAAACACAACTACACAGTCAGAGATTAAAGGCAATGGTGGGTTATCCACTGACCTAGTGTCACCATATTTCCCATCATAATTGGCTTTTGAAACATTAACAGGAATCGAAGTCGCTAATCTAAGCAAATTTGTTGGAGAGGAAATAGAGCACCAGATGGCAGAATTTCCAATGCTAATAAACTTTCAAGAATGAGAAAAATCTGTTATACTTAGGACCTTTTTTTCCCTCCCAATCTGGTAAATGGGAATTAAAGCAACTAATTTAATAAAAGACTGAACCAATGTATAGCTAAATTATCTCATAAATCCTGTGTCTTGTGGACCAATGATCATTTTGCACAGGCACCATGGCCTTTGCTTAGCCTTTTAGCTGAGGATGAGGTGATTTATGATGGAATTTGCATAGGTAAACAAATTTCCAGCTGCAAACTGCCTGCCCCTAAATTTCATGGTTCACTAAGGATTAAGACACTTGGAGTCCTTCTGGGTGGCTACAGACTGTGACAGATAGACTTTCCCAGTTAGTTTCCTGACTGTGGTAGGTTTCCCTTCACCATGGCATGATGAAGTTTAAAGGTCTCCAGCGGTAGTGAATTAAAGATTGAGGGGTGTGAAAGTCATGCTTTGTGAAACTTAATTGCAAAGAGACTTTCTATGGGCAGGAAGCATTGTTTCCTTTGTGATGTAGAATAGCTAGTGGAGGGATTACAAATGACCAAAGATAAAACCATTATCCATCTCTTTGACTTGTAGAGATTACTGAAGAGTGATAAATTCTTATAAAAGAATTTGATTGGCTATAAAAGTACCTATTGATATTTCATCAGATAGTAGAACTAGATTCATAGAATGATAAAATCCTCAGGATGGCAAGGGACATAATAGTGTACCCTCTAATATTCTGTTCAAACAGTACCAAAGATATATTGAAACTTTCAGTGATATAAAATGCAATTAAAGTGAAATAGATTATTTTGTCCTCAACCAGCAGATTGAAAGTAAATTTGCTACATTTCTGAACATTTTTCCTTTGAGTAATGTAAATTGAGCAAGATCCCATTGGCATGACTACATTGGCAGAATTGTGTATGTTTAAATATACCTATTACATAATATTCCAGAACATGAGAAAACCCTTCCATGATTTGAAGGAGGAACTCCATAAACAAATAGACACACTGAAAAAGAATTGAACACAGCTTCTGGAGATAAAGAATACAATGCAGCAAATCAAAACCTCCCTTGCAAGTATGAAGAGTGGATTAGACTATGCAGAAGAAAATATTTAACCCAGAAGACAAAACCTCTGATTTAGTCCAAGCAGCTGAAAATAATGGAAGAATAATCATTAAAAGTGAGGACAACATATGGAAAACCCTAGACACCATTAAGTGGCCTAATATCCACATAACAGGTATTTCAGAAGGCAAACAGACAGGCAAAGGCATTAAAAAAATATCTTTCATGGGGACCAGCAGTTGGTGTAATGGCTATGTTGCTGGACTCTCATGTATTCGACTGCAGTTGCAGTTCCAGACCTGGTCGCTTAAACTTACACCAGGCGCATGTGCATGTGTGCTCAAGATCCCAAAAGGAGAATGGAGGAGAAGGGAGGGGATTGCAGTGTGGCCGTCTCCCTGGGAACGTGCTTTCTCACTTTCTGTCTCTCTGACTCTCTCTGTCTTTCTTCCTAGCAAGTACATGCTCCCTATAGAAAAATCCTCTAACATATATATATATTACATATATATTACATATATATATATATTACATATATATACACATATATATATTACATGATACAGTAGCTGAGAACTTTCCAAATTTAGAGAGACATGTGGACATCCAAATCCAGGAACTATGAAGAACACCAAATAGATATAAAATAAGAGGATCTTCTCCAAGGCACATCATAGCCAAATTGGTAAAAATAAAAGACAAAGATAATCTAAAAATGGCAAGAAAGAAAAGTCAGGTTACTTATAAAGTTTATTTTATTAGAATAGTATTGAACCTCTCTACTGAAACAATGCAGGCAAGAAAAAAAGTGGAAAGACATACTTAAAACACTGAAAGAAAAACAATTTCTGCCAATAGTTCTATACCCAGCAAGATTAGCCTTCAAATTGGAAGGAGAAATAAAATAATTTCCAGCTAAACGAATGTTGGAAGAATTCACCTAAACTAAACCAGCTCTTCAGGAAATACTTTAGGGAATACTACACCAGGAAACTTAAAGGGAGCTAGAAGTAAGAGAATGCAAAAGTATGGGAAAAAAAAAAAAAGATAAGCTCAAACATATCAATAACAGCACTAAATGTCAGGATTGAATTTCCCAGGTAAAAGTCTGAAAATGCAGATTCAATTATCTTACACATAAGCAAGTTAAAATACAAAGACACCAGTTTTATGATAGACAGTTGTCTCTACAGATTTCAAAATATGTATTTATTATGATCATAACTCCTTGTATAAAACTAGATTAAGAGAGGAAAAGTCCAAAATGTGACAAGTGGCTGTATCTTTCCTTGTAATGAATTTAAAGAAGGCTAACATCAAGACTGCTGTAAAGCCTATAAATCCCAAATTACTGACTTTACCATGTCTTTGCTTTTGAACATGTCTTTCCAGTTTTGTTTTGGTTTTGCTTTTTTAAAGATTTGATTTTTTAATGTACAATATAGTACTGTGGTCTCACAAGAAGTACAGTGAATGAGTAAAAGTTATTTTTTCTTTCTCTTCTGAATGAACTATTACTATGTATGGTTTTACTGATCTCTAACGTACTTACAATACCACAATTCTTTTCACAATGTAAACTCTTATCTCTCACAGTCCTCCACATGGAAATGACAAATTCTTCCTTCATTAGCTGTGTTAAGATGATCTTTGTTTTAAAAATACTCAATCTCATAAAAATTTATATATGCATGTAATTGAAGAAGAAGACCAAACAAAATCAAACATGTGAGACCAGTAGTTAGCGTAATGGCTATGTTGTTGGACTCCCACATAGCCGAGCATGGTTCAAGTCCCGGACCCGGTGACTCATGCCTGGCACGTGTGCGTGCATGCCCAAGATCCCGAGAGGAGAAGGGAGGAGAAGGGATTGTGGTGTGGCCATCCCCCCTGGGGGGTGATTTCTTGCTTCCTGTCTCTATGTCTCTCTCTGTCTTTCTGGCGAGCTCACATGCCCTATAGCAAAAAAACCTCTCCAAAAAAAAAAAAAAAAAATCAAACATTTTATTTCATAGCTCTTAATCTAATACAGATTTTTTTTTTTTACCTTTGTTCATTTAGTAACTGATGATCTTCTGAAAGCTATTTCTAGAATTATGGAATGCTAAAATTGAAAGAGATAATAGGAATCATTTAATTTTTCCAGTATCTTTTTTGCCTAAGTTATTAAGTCTCTAATCTCATCATGAAACTTGCCTGCCTGGTCTGCTGATGACATGCAGCTAAGTTGTACTGTTGTGTTCTACCTCACAACAAATATTGAAAATGTTATGTTTTACGGATAAACATTGGTGGTCATCTCTGGCTTATGTCAGCAATAAGTGTTTTTATGCTTTTTCAAGACTATGGCTAGGTAGCTACAGCATATTACTCTTTAGAGAAAATTAAGAACAAAGGATGATGGAGAGAAACTTATGATTAAGTAATACCTACTCTAGGGATTGGAAAATAATTGGTAGATCATCTGGTCAATGTAGTACTTGAGTCAGCTCCAACATATTCTAGCCATTTGATCAACCAGCCTTTATCTGAGTCTTATGATTGGCAATGAGTGTACTACAGGCATGGGCAGCATTTTTACATGCTCTTGTTGTTACAAAGACTGAGCTAAAATTGTCTTTTGCTCAGAAAATTGAATTTTCTATCTTACTGTTCACAAACTATTTTATTGTCAACAACTTACCTGGAAAATCGGAACATTGTTCTAAGAATTTGGCCTTATACTGATACTGATGAGCTGAGTAAATTATAGGCAGCCTTATTGCCAGTACTCAGGAGTTATAGTGGCCTGTCACCACTGGCAGTGTGATTTCTGCAGGGGCCACCTCATTATATGGGAAAATGCCCTCAAAGGGTAAGCCTGTTTCTTGTCCTGGCAGACCTGTCACATCTGATGTTAGAGGAAACAGCAGTAAAGAATTGTGGCTGAAGGAATTGTAAATTTTGCCTGTGGAGAGTCACTGAGGGCAATTCTTCTGAAAGGGATTATTTGTCAACTGCAGTAAGACTCTTTGTTATTAGAATTTAATTGATATTTGCTACTGGAGAAGAAAGCTAAAAACAGGATACAAGGCAAGCAATTAAATTTCCTTTATTAAGTGCAGTTAATGAGTTGTCAAAATTGGTAAAGATTATTCTCCCCTCCTCCTTTTTTATTGTAAGGATGTGGAGGGTTGTCTACTATCCTGGGGAAAAGTGGAACAAGTAAAAAAATAAAAAAATAAATAAATAAGCCTTATAAGGCAAGGCTAGTTTTGCGAAATAAAAAGGAACAAAAATTAGGAATTAGGAGACGTAGCCTTCTAGCCCAGGTTGCTCAGTAGATAACTGAAGGATCCCTTTGGGCTTTCATTTGTTTTTCAAATGTGGCTTGGGTTAGATGATCTTTAAGACCCTTCTACATGTAGTACTCCTTCATATTCTGTAAAATTAATTGTGTAGAGCAGCACAGTAGATAAGAATCACACATATCTGAATCACAGAGTACCAGCATCCCCAGTAATTAGCTATGTGTCTGGGTTAAGTTAATTAACCTCTGTAAGTATCCATGTCCTCCTTGGTAGAAAGGGAGACCAGCTGCATCTCACAGAGTTTGTTAGAATTAGATGACAGAATATAAGTAAATTATGGCAAATGGAAAGTGATCACTAAATGTGGGCTATTTTTATTAAGATTACTGTTCCATAATTTAGTTTTTCCAAAATTACAGCTATGTATCCTATCCACCAGAGGGCACTACATAGAAAACAGCTCAATGTTCTTTTTAAGGTGAGTACAGCTATTAATTGCTTGAAGGAATTGCTTGCTACCTCAGAGTATCTGGTTCCTATTTGCATCTCATGTCAATTCTGTAACTATGAGGGCTACAATTTGAGGGGGCATCTTCAAAAAGTTCATGGAACATGTATTAAATTAAAAAACTGTGCATGAATTTCAATTTTTTGTGTAAAATAAACTGGAACTTTAATTTCATTTTTTCTAAAAACAGTTTGATGTCTCCTTAATCTTCTGCATCTCAGTTCTTCTACTTCCCCTTTCATTCTTGAAGAATACTCAAGAGGTAAGAGTGCTCGTTTAGTGAGGTCCTAAAATAGAAAAGAAAAAAAGAACAAAAAACAGTAGGCAGCCATTTATTGAGAACTATCTTGTGTCAGTCACTGTGTTGATTAGTGTGATTGATCTTTACTTTTTTTTATAGACCACAGATTAGTTTATTTTTAACACCTATCAAGCCACGAATTCATAGGGAATAGGTTCCAGAGCTCAGGCTCCTTTCCATTGGTTCTCACAAAGTGTGCTTCTCTGGGTGGAGCAGGCTGGCGCTTTAGTTGTACCCAGGTACCTTTCTCTTTGACTTCTTTATTTTTCTGGTCATTTTCCTTCACATGTTTTAGGAAGCTCTCTCTGCTCTTAGAATGTTTAATATGCTCAATATGCACATTTATTCTCTTGGCAAGAATCTTGCCCTTAACTTGTTTGTTCACAACAACGTCAACAGCATGCTGGGTAACATTGTAGACTCTTCCAGTTTTGCCATGGTAACATTTGTGGGGCATTCCTTTTTGAACAGTACCCATTCCCTTAATGTCTACAATATTACCTTTCTTGTAGATTCGCATATATGATGCCAAAGGAACAACTCCATGTTTTCTAAAAGGCCTACAGAACATATATCAGGTGCCTCTCCTCTTGCCCTTTGTGTTTGTCATTTTGGTTAATTACTGGAAGATGGCGGTTCTGGCCAAAAGGCATGATCGATCTTTATAATAGTCAAAACATAAGTAACTATAGTTATTTTACAAGATGGGAAAACTAATGCTCATACAGATTGAGCACTTTGCCTAAAATCACAGTCAGTAAGCGGAAAAAGCCATGGCTGCTTGATTCCAAAGACTATGCTCTATAAAATTAATCAAAACTGTTTTGGACTTATACCACATAGATCATGGAACAGGCCAAAGGATGTCCATCATCTCCTCTACTACTTAATATTGTACTGGGTAAATTTGCAAATATACTTAGGTTATTTAGAAATAGGGAATGGCTGTAAATTTAGATGAAGGATATAGAAACACACTAAGTGGTTGTGAATACCAGATATAGTGTGGGAAGAGGGTGGGTAAAGGAGTAGAGTATTAGGAAGGACTCTAAGGACAATACTTGAAATCAAATGAACTACTGGGACAAAGAAATGGGGTATTATCTGTTGAAGATAACTTGATAGTATTATAAACTAGACTGGGGGAAATGTACACATGTTGGGATATTCACTTTGCAAGCTAAATAATGTGATTGAATGTATAAAAGAACTTGAAATGAAATGAAAATAAAATAGGTATTTCTTTTAAAAAGGTGTTACCTGTTTATAAGGTTACTAGGAATGATATTCTTTTAGAGGTAGATTTAAAAAAAGATGGATGATTGCAGAGAACATAACTCTGAGAACACGTAATTAGCAGAATAAATTAAAGATGTTTCCATCTTTTTCACAGTCTTTTTATCATCATTCCTGAATTCATGTATTTCTTTGTAAAACCACATGGATTATCTTTTAAATGATACTTGTTGATCAATACTAAATTGGTTGTTACTGGATAGTCTGAAATACGTGTTTTTACTCACCTCCCATTCTTCTAGAGCAGGGGTCCTCCAACCGTAGGCCACAGAGGGCTTGTTAGGAACTAGGTGGCACAGCAGATGTGCCCTGTTAGGAACTAGGTGGCACAGCAGATGTGCCCTGTTAGGAACTAGGTGGCACGGCAGGAATGGCAGGGAGCAAGCTTCGCCTGTATTTACAGCCATTCCCCATCACTCACATTACTGACTGAGCTGTAAACCCTATTTTGAATTGCGTATATGAGAGATCTAGGCCATGTACTCCCTATGAGAATCTAATGCCTAGTGATCTGAGATGGAGCTGAGCCAATAATGCTGGGGAGCAGATGCAAGTACTGCTTGATGAGCTGTATAATTATGTAATTATATATTACAATGTAATAATAGTAAAAATGAAGTGCACAATAAGTGTCATGTGCTTGAATGATCCCAAAACCGTCTCCCTCCGCTAGTTTGTGGAAAAATTGTTGTCCACAACAATTACTGATATCAAAAAGGTAGGGGACTACTGTCTAGATACATATTTTTTCCTAGAGTCATTCTCTTTATGTTTCACTTAAGAATTTAAAAACTAGTATTCTAGATCATACTATACATCTCACTTTATTTTCACCTAACTCAAACCTAGGAGTCAAACAATGCCTGACACATGGGCACTAGAGAAATAGTAAATGACTTGATGTTTGATCTTTCTCAAAAGAAGATAAAGTAGTAGACCCATTCTTCCATCAGTCTTCTTGAATGTACAATCAGTAAAGATTTCTTAGATTTTTTAATTAACAGAATAAACATTCTAATGGATGTCTCTATGTCCTCTGTTGGTGACCACTCCTTTGACTCTCTTGTATACTGAACTTTTATTTTATTTCTGATAATAACATGTAGATTTTCCTTGGGGAAAAATGTAGTCCCTACTCATAATCTATAGGGTTAGTGTAAGGCTGGCCTTTCTCTGAAGTCTAAGTTTATTTGACTTATATTTGGCCAACCAGGACCAAGGCTTCTTTATTCTTTGACTGTTTTTAGAAGTGTGAGGAACAAAGGAGTTCTCTTTCAGTTGGACTTGAGTTGTGAGGATATGAGCAGGAGTGCAATCATAGTGAAAGGGGAACTTGGGATTTATTCTGTAGGTGATTGTAGGAGGTACAGTCTAAGTCCCAGCAATGGAATTTGAGCTCCTGATTCCAGTCGGTCTATCTTGAAATTTCTCAAGTCGTGATCTAGAGAATTTTCTTTTACCTTTAATTCAGTTTGAATTGGGTTTCTGTCACTTTTAGGTGGTGTCTCATGATAGTACATCTATCCAAACTGTAGTTAGATCCTTATATTTATTTACGTTTGAATGCTTATCTCTACTGCCCGATTGAAAGCAAGTGTGTGTGTTTCTGTGTTGGAGGGGCACTGACCAGCTTGGAATAATATACTACTATTGTCTTAGCATGTGGATCAGTGCCTGATAAAGACACCCTCTCAAAAAATATGTGTGTGTAACTATATACTTTGTTTTCAGAATGAATGAGGAATAATTGACTTTTTTTATATCTTCAACTGTACTTTTTTATTATTTTTGTTTTCATTAATACTTACATTTCCTTTCTTTCTTTCCTTCTTTCTTTCTTTCTTTCTTTCTTTCTTTCTTTCTTTCTTTCTTTCTTTCTTCTTTCTTTCTTTCTTTCTTTTTGGGTCAGAGAGTATGCATGCTCATCAGAGAGAGGGAGAGAAAAAAGAAGGGAAGAGAGAGAGAAAGTACCCCTTCAATGGGGCATGGTCATGCTGCAATCTATTTTCCTCCATTTCTCCACCTTGATGGGGTTTGGGACATGTATGTATCCAGTGTGTTTTTCAAGCCACCAGGGCCATAATTCGAACTGTGGTTCATCATGTGGGATCCACCTCATCTTAACCACTAGGCTATGAGACTGCCCCTTTATTGGTACCTTTTATCAATTGAAATGAGAGTACAAAAGTTACTGGAAGTCATAAACTGACAAAGCAACTATCCATAATTGTTTAAATCCACCTGTATATCATCACTTTCATTTAGGTAAGAAAATAAAATCAACACTAAGCGAAACAAAACACAACAAAAACAAATATTAGTAAAGCTTAATATATCAGCATAATCTCAAAATTATTTTCTAACTTTGTTTAGCTACTGTGTAAAAAATAGAGGCCAGAAAATATCAGGACGATTTAAATAAAAAATTCCTGATTACTGAGAGAAGAATTTATCAGATAGGTACTGCTTAAAACCATTCATACTTTGGCATATACTGATTGGATTGTCTAATAAGTGTTCACAATTTTTGCAGTTTGTTGATGGAGAATTTGCTGAACAGAACTCAGAAAATTTTCCTACAGAAATAAAAATATTGAGCCAAGATCTCTCTTATGGAAGTGTTTCCCAGGATCCTATTACCTATTTTGGCAATCTACAGATCCTGGTAGTTCTTGTAAATCAGCCATCAGGCTTTTGCCCACTACCTTCCTGAGAGTCTCTGTAGATGGACTTTCAAAAATATAGATACTTACAATTGAAATTTTAAATTCTGAAGAAAAGGAGCCCTCCTCCCATAATGTACTCATTCATTATGCTCTAAATTTCCAGGATCAGCATGTTTTTAGTCACCATGCCTTTAATACTGAAGCACAAAATAGTGCCCAGGACTCACATTTTTCCTAGTATCCCCTTTCTTTATTGGTTTTTAGTTTTACATGGAATAAGTAATTGTTTGAAGGTGTCAGTCACAGGATTTTAGAAAACACCATCATGATCTATCATCAAGTTGATGAATTTTTGTTACAATTTTATGTCCATAATGTTCACGTATGTTGACCACTTAATTTTAAAGACTAATGCAATTAGAAGTTAGAGTATATTTATCATATTGAAGGAGGAAGAAAACTCACTCCCTGGAAGTATTGTCCTAGCTCAGACCACTTCACAGTCCCTTCAAAATCTGTCAAAGTCCAGCCAATCGGAGCCCTATGACATAGTTTCCATGCCAGGAATGGCTAGTTAAAATCACCCCATCTTCTGTATCACATACAGTGTTCTCTTGTCTGCCAACATGAATAGTTGCTATCATTACATCAGTATTCAGTGACTTCAATACATGAATGGCTAGCTTACGGTCCAAGAGTGGATGAGC